GTCACAGGCTGTACAGTAGCAGGTACTAGAGAAACACACAGTCCATTTGTTGATCAGGTGTTTATTTAGCACTTAAAATCTATCTTTCCCTAGTCGAGGTGCTGAAGTAAGGGTCTGGCCTTTGTCTTTTAGGGGGGCTCCCAGTCAAGTTGAGGTGACAAGATAAAAAGTTGAGCCACTCATAATAATCATGATAATGTGTTTGGTTTGCCTTGAGTCCAGACATAGCTCTCAGGACTTGGTATGTACACAGTCTGCATATCTCCCCCTTTAACAGTTGTCTCGGGCTTGCTGTTCCCAAACTGAATGTACTAACTTCTCAGTGTCCAGTCATTACCCCATCCAGCCATCCCACCCCTCCTGGTTGAAAGGACCCTTGCAGAATTTTTGTTTTGTTTTTAAGCTTTAATTGATTTATTCTACATTTAAGATGTAGAATAAACTCAAATTTCCTGGTCTTACCAAGTTTTTTGTATGTATGTTTGCTTGCTTTTCAGGGAAGCCAGTATCCTTTTTTTCTTCATATTTATTTTATTGTATGTGTATTAGTGTTATGCCTGAATATCTGTGCACCATTTGCATGCCTGGTGCCCAACGAGGTGAAAAGTTGTCAGACCTCCCTGGAACTGGAGTTAAGGATGGTTGTGAACTACCATGTGGTGCTGGGAACTGAACCTGGGTCTTCTGCAAGAGCAGTACGTGCTCTTAACCACTGAGTCATCTCTCCAGCCCCAAGAGTTTCCTTTATAAATCAGATCCCAAGGATTGGGATAAAGTCCTTTTCACATGAAAACTGTATGCAGTCCCCTTTGCAGTGGGTGTGTGAGTGATGCTGGGAGTCCAACACAGGCCCTTCAGCATGCTAAGTGAGCCCCTTACCACTGAGCTACAACCTAGCTGTACAGCAGAATTCATCACTAATAAGTGCCAGAACTCTAGAGCAAGACTGGCTAACTTCATATTCTGGTTTTACAATATTTAGTAATTAGATGATCATAGACAAATTACATACATTATCTGAATCTCACTTTCTCCTGTTTATGATGATCCCAATAAGAGACTCTACCACCCGAGATAGTCCAGACAATGTGATTTATACTTAATTTTTAAAAATCCTATGAACTTCGCTTAACAGAAAAATGCAGTAAGTTTTTACTTGATTCAAATAGTGTGTAACTAAGAAAATTATTATGAATTTTGGCTCTAATGTAATTCAGTGGTAGAATACTTCTAGTGCAAGACAAGGTAGATTTATATCTTAAGTTACTTGGAAAATAGACTAAAAATAACATATTTGGTTTCTGTCCAATAACCATTATATAAGCAAACATGATTTTCTTTAGTGTGTGTGTGGGTGTGTGAATCGTTTTGAATTATGGACCACCATGGGCTGTAGTATTCTTTTTTAAAAAATTATTGTTGGTTCTGCTGTTCCTTTGGAAGCCCATGCTTTTTTATTTTAGAAAAAAAATTACCTGTCACCCATTTTATGTGATGTTAGAATTAGTAAAACACATCATTTACATAGAAAGAGATACAGTAAAATGCTGAAACAGGCTTTTTTTTTTTTTTTTTTCTTCTCCGAGACAGGGTTTCTCTGTGTAGTTTTGGTGCCTGTCCTGGATCTCGTTCTGTAGACCAGGCTGACCTCGAACTCACAAAGATCCGCTTGGCTCTGTCTCCTGAGTGCTGGGACTAAAGGTGTGCACCACCACTGCCCGGTGTTCAGGCTGCTTTTTAAAATCAGCTTTATAAGCAGGGCAGTTGTGACACACACCTTTAATCCCAGCACTTGGGAGGCAGAGGCAGTGGATCTCTGAGTTCAAGGCCAGCCTGGTCTACAGAATGAGTTCCAGGAGATCGAGGCTACACAGAGAAACCCTGTCTCAAAAAAAAATCATCCTATTTAGCAGAGTTTGGGGCTTCAAGGACATGGTGCTAGCTTCTGGTTAGTTCTGGTGAAAGTCTGATGGTAGGGCACCTAGGAAGCAGGAGACTGTGGTAGCAGATCACCCTACCAGACAGGAAGCAGGAGAGGCTCAGGGCTCAGGATCAGACTTTTATACACAGAATTCAGTGGAGGAGACCAGCATTCCCTCCTGAAGTCAACATCCCAATGGCCTAGAGACCTTCCATTAGGTCTTTTTAAAAAATTTTATTTTGTTGGGTTGGGGATTTAGCTCAGGGGTAGAGCGCTTGCTAGGCCTTGGGTTCGATCCTCAGCTCAAAAAAAAAAAAATTTTTTTTTTTAAATTTTGGTTTGGTTTGGTTTTTTGGTTGTTTTTTTTCTTCAAGACAAGGTTTCTCTCTATAGCCTGACTGTCCTGGAACTCGCTCTGTAGACCAGGCTGGCCTCAAACTCAGAAATCCGCCTTCCTCAGCCTGCACCACCGCCACCTCACTTGGCCATTCTGAGTAAAACTCCAATATGTGAGGTTTAGGGGGAGAGACATTCAACATAGCAAAGAGAAAACAAAAACAAAACAAAATCATTTATTCCTAAGCTCCTTTGTAAGAGGCCATTTTTTTAATGTAGAAAAAGGTATTTTTTAAGATTTTTGTTTTGGTTTGGTTTGGTTTTGGTTTTTCAAGACAGGGTTTCTCTGTGTAGCTTTACGCCTTTCCTAGAACTCACTCTGTAGCCCAGGCTGGCCGTGAACTCATAGAGCTAAAAAGGAAAACAAAAAAGTTTTATGTTATATATATGGATGCTTTGCATGTATGTCTGTGTTCCATGTGTGTGGCTAGTGCCCAGTGACCACGGAGGCCAGAAGAGGACACCAGATCTCCTGAGACTGGAACTTTGCATGGTTGTGTACCACCATGTGGGTGCTGGGGATTGGAACTGTGGAAATGTTCTTAACCTCTGAGCCGTCTCTCCAGACCACTTGTGGGATAGTTTCTCTTAATGGTGCTGGTTTATCTTGCCTCCACAGAATTAAGAAAAAGGATGAAATAATTTGTGCATTCTGTCTATAGAGGACAAAGTACCAAGATTCTCTTCTCTCAGACATTTTGTAGTCAAGAGCATAAATTATAGGGAGACCTGCACCAAAAACTTCAGGATGTGGATATAGGATGCTGTGATTCTATAAAACGCCCATGGAAAGTAAGGCTGGAATGAGGCTCTCCCTTTCTCTCAACCCCCCTCCCCGGGGGCCTCATGTATCCCACGCTGGCCTTGAACTTGAACTTACTCCCTGATTCTCTTGCCTCCACATCCTAAATGCTGAGTTACAGGTGTGTGCCGCCATGCCCCCTTTATGGGTATTGGGGATCAGATCAGGGCTTTGTATGCACTAGGCCAGCACTCTACCAACTGAGCCACAACCTCAGCATTTGGCTTGGTTCAGCATCCCCCTCCCGACCCCCCACAGGGTTTCTCTGTGTAGTTTTGGTGCCTGTCCTGAATCTCACTCTGTAGACCAGGCTGGCCTCAAACTCACAGAGATCCACCAGCATCTGCCTCCCGAGTGCTGAGATTAAAGGTGTGCGCCACCACCACCCGGCATTTTTATATGATTTTTTTATAAAAAAAGTTTTTCTTTCCTCTTACATACCAACCCCTCTTCCCCCTCGGGACTTTTGTTTTTGAGACAGCGTCTCACTTTGCAGTCACGGTTACACTGCATAAACCAAGCTCTGCCTCCTGAGTGCTGAGATTAAAGGTTATGGGCCACTAGGCCCAGTCTCAGCAATTGTTGTAAATTTATGTTAATAAAATGATAGTAATGAAGGAAGTTGGTGCCATATGGATGATGTTTGACCCTAGCTTTTCAGAGTTACACAGCTTGGTAATGGCTACAGAATCCTCCTACGTTGGTTGGTTTGCTTTGTTGTTGATAGTTTTGTTGTCTTGAGACAGCTCACTGTGTAGCCAGCTAGCCTGGAACTGGCTATGGAGAGCCTTCTGGCCTCCAGTTCACATTGTTTTGTTTTCCAAGCTCACTTTATTTTGTTTTTAATCACAGTGCAGGTGTTTTCTTTCTCCGACTTTGTGAGCCATTGGATCTGTAAATCACCTCCTGTGGAGACTGGTGTGCAGTAACTGAGCCAGCTGTTGGGTGTTTGAGCTGAACAGCTTGCTCCTACTTGGCTGCTCAAATCCTAGTGAGAAGTATTGGCTGCGACAGAGCCAGGGCTGTTGGTAGCCTGCTTTAACCTTGCAGTGCTGAGGCTTCCGATCTTTGCTGTAGTTGTCAAACTTCATCAGTGTCTGGCGTTTGTTTGTTTGTTTGTTTGTTCGTTTGTTTTAGCCGCTGTCTCACTTTTAACCCCGGCTGGCCTGGAATTCTGAGAGAGCTGCCTGTCTCTGCCTCCCTCTTCCAAATACAATTAAATACTCCACCATGACCAGCGATTTTGAATTGTCACAAATTATTCATTTCCCTATTAGGTTTTCTTATTTTTTTAAAATTTATTTATTTATTATGTATACAGAAGAGGGTGCCAGATCTCATTACAGATGGTTGTGAGCCACCATGTGGGTGCTGGGAATTGAACTCAGGATCTTTGGAAGAGCAGTCGGTGCTCTTAACCTCTGAGCCAGCTCTCCAGGCCCAGTTTTCTTATTTTTTAATTAATTTTATTTACTTTGCCTGCATCTATGTGTGTGTACTATGTACACTTCCAGTGCCTGCAGAGGCCAAAAATGGACATCGGCTACTCTGGAACTGGAGTTGGAGACAGTTGTGAACCGCCACGTGGGTGCTGAGAGTTGAACCCAGGTCTCTGGAAGAGCAGCCAGTGCTCTGAACTGCTGAGTCCTCTCCAGCCCCTGTCATGTTTTCATAGAGCCTGATGGGCTAAAAACTTTGAGGTCACTGTCAATTTCTCCTGTCATTTATTTTGGGAGGAGAGTCAGGCCTATTTCCTTCTCATTCTGAGTGACCCCCGTAGCACACAGAAAACTTTGTTTCTTCCCGAAAATGACACGTTAGTGATTCATTGTTTTCTGTGGGAGGAAGCTGATGACCTGCCCTTTTCTTTTTCCCTTTCAGAGAGACTTTGTGAAAGTAACAAACAAAATACCATTTCTGAAAGAAGGTTTTGGGTAACAAGTTCTGGATAACAGGTAAGTTTGGAGTTACTTGGTGGTGGTGATTTACCGTAATCTTTGCAGTGTGGTGGGAGAGGGGGAGTTGAAAATGTAGGTGGCCTTTGTGTCAAATGTTGTATTAGGAGTTTAACACGTCACACGGATTCTAGGCATAGATGTGAGTGTCTTGGAATAAAATTTATCCTCTAACATGCTGTTTTTAAAGATGGGTATGGTAACAGACACCTGTAATCCCAGTATTCCAAGACCAAGGTGGGAATAGCTTGAGTTCAAAGGTCAGTCTAGGTAACATTTGACCCTCTGAAAAACAAAAACAAAAAATCAAAAATAAGACCTGTGCATGGTGGTGGATGCCTTTAACTCCAACACTCAGGAGGTAGATCTCTGTGAGTTTGAGGCTAGCCTGGTCTACCTAGCGATTTCCAGGACAGCCAGAGCTTCATAGTGAGACTTTGTCTCAAAAAACAAAAACAAAAATATGCTAATTTTTAGTGGATTTGCCTACCAGTTGGATTTGCTGCTCTCATGGATCAGTTTGTCATAAATTTCTTTTTGTATCTGTCATTAATTTTTTTTTGTTGTAACAGCTTCCATTGTGGACTTTTAAAAATAAAACCAGGGTTTGCTCTGCTGTGTGGCCTAGCAGGGACCACTCCCCAGTTCCTCTCTCTATTAGTGCTCATCATTGCCAGTTAATGACAGCTGTTTTCCTTAATTACTTATGAAAAATTTTGAGACAGGGTCTCACTGTGTATCTCTGGCTGGCCTGGAACTCACAGAGATCCGCTTGCCTCTGCCTCTCAAGTGTTGGGATTAAAGATGTGTGTCACTACTCTTGGCTCCTTAATTACTTCAACATTTTGTTAGCTGGTCTAAAACTTAAGCTTTCTAGTAAACTGCCTCTTCACAATGGACTCCATCCCATTTTATGTTCTCAGTGGTAACTGTGACTGGACCAGAAAGCTGCTCCGGTGCATTATTTTGTTATGTGTAGTGCACAGTGTCTAGGTGTCCCATAACATACTAATATATGTAAAAATACAGTGTGCTGCATCTGAGAGAAAAACCAGGAAAGCACACAAGACCTTCTGTGTCTAGACATGAGTAAGGTTGCTATCTTTCCTAAAGCTGTTAGAGCGAGATGTGAGTATAGGCCAACATTTGTTCTACTATGAGTCCTGAAGTGAGTTCTGTTTCAGGGTTACAAAGTCCCTAGAAATAGTAGGAATTAAAATTTACATTGCTAAGGTTTGATTATTTGTTGGGCACCAAAAATAGAAAGCTACTTTTAGCATTTGTTGATTTTTTTTTCCCCCCCACTCTGCTTGGTACTTTTCCACATACCAGGGCAAACCAATTCCATCACCATGAGTTGGAGCTTCCTGACTCGCCTGCTAGAGGAGATCCACAACCATTCAACATTTGTAGGGAAGATCTGGCTCACCGTACTGATTGTCTTTCGAATTGTCCTGACTGCTGTAGGAGGAGAGTCCATCTACTATGACGAGCAAAGCAAATTTGTGTGCAACACAGAGCAGCCAGGCTGTGAGAACGTCTGCTATGATGCCTTTGCACCCCTCTCCCACGTGCGCTTCTGGGTATTCCAGATCATCCTGGTTGCAACTCCCTCTGTGATGTACCTGGGATATGCTATTCATAAGATTGCCAAAATGGAGCATGGCGAGGCAGACAAGAAGGCAGCTCGGAGCAAACCCTATGCCATGCGTTGGAAACAGCACCGGGCTCTGGAAGAAACGGAAGAGGACCATGAAGAGGATCCTATGATGTATCCAGAAATGGAGCTAGAAAGTGAAAAAGAAAATAAAGAGCAGAGCCAACCAAAACCGAAGCATGATGGCCGGAGACGAATTCGGGAGGATGGGCTCATGAAAATCTATGTGTTGCAGCTACTGGCCAGGACTGTGTTTGAAGTGGGCTTTCTAATTGGACAGTATTTCCTGTATGGTTTTCAAGTCCACCCATTTTATGTGTGCAGCAGACTTCCTTGTCCTCATAAGATAGACTGCTTTATTTCTAGACCCACTGAAAAGACCATCTTCCTTCTGATAATGTATGGTGTTACAGGCCTCTGCCTATTGCTTAACATTTGGGAGATGCTCCATTTAGGGTTTGGGACCATTCGAGACTCACTGAACAGTAAAAGGAGGGAGCTTGACGATCCGGGTGCTTATAATTATCCTTTCACTTGGAATACACCATCTGCTCCCCCTGGCTATAACATTGCTGTCAAACCAGATCAAATCCAGTACACCGAGTTGTCCAATGCTAAGATTGCCTACAAGCAAAACAAAGCCAATATCGCCCAGGAGCAGCAGTATGGCAGCCACGAGGAGCACCTCCCAGCTGATCTGGAGACTCTGCAGCGGGAGATCAGGATGGCTCAGGAACGCTTGGATCTAGCCATCCAAGCCTACCATCACCAGAACAACCCCCATGGTCCTCGGGAAAAGAAGGCCAAAGTGGGGTCCAAATCTGGCTCCAATAAAAGCAGTGTTAGTAGCAAATCAGGGGATGGGAAGACCTCCGTCTGGATTTAATCTTGGTTGGGCTTAAAACTTGGGTTTTCATAGTTTATGGTAAGCAGTGGCTCGCTGAATAATGACTTCCATTGAGTAAACATTTGGCTCTGGTTATCTTCAGGGATGCTGTTGGCTCATGATCCAAACTCAGGGGACTCTGAAGGTGGAGCTGGGATGAGTGGGGAAAGGAAAACACAGTGTTCCCAGGCACATGTTCTCAGCAATAATACAGTTGCAGAACTTTACATTGTGTCTTCCAGGTCCAGAGAAGAACAGATCTATTTAAATCATTCTGTTGAACAGTTTTTGTATGTACAGTATTATGGTACATTTTTTTAGTATGATAACTTTTTTTTTGTATTTGTACATTGGACTGCTGTAGTTATACTTTTTTATATTAAAGGAAAAATCCTTGTAAATAATGCCTGTTAAAAGCTAGTGTTATTACTTTGTTTAGCAAATGTTACCTTTGTGATTAGAATTGTAGTAGATGCTACACTTAATAAAAGTGCCTCTCGTGTTTGGGAAAGATTTAAGATTCATAAGGAAACTGAGGGAGAAACCAGTTTTCAAGTTGTTGGAAGAAGATCCCTCTTAGAAAGAGGTTGAGATCTTTCTTCTGCCTGGGAGATCTTGGAACATCCTTCCTGTGACCAGAGTTGTAGCCGTTCTTGGAATATGTTTCCAAAGGAAGTAAATTTTTACTACAGGTTTCCTTTAAACGCCCAGCATGGCTGTGTGCTTTGATGGTGTGTCTGACCCACAGTCTTCGAAGACTGAGAAGCGAGGATGCTCCTGTGCAGCAGTGTGGGCGCCCACCAGTGTGACTGTGCAGTGCCGTAAGCGGCTCCTCAGTGTGCAAAGACACGCCTGGAGAGTGAACCTAACAGGGAGTGAAGTTGTAAAGCTCTTCCACTTGCCCAGAGCCTCTGTCCACAATCGCGACTCTCTGGTTTCTGAAGAAGCTGGTCATGAGTATTTTCTATATTTGTTAGCATTAGAAATAGAAACAAAAATTCTCTTAGATTAAGAGTACCCTAAGCTACTTGTATTGAAAATGAAAATGGCAAAAGGCCTAAATCCAGATGCTTTATTTTAATAGTTGGGTGTGAAATGTTCGCCCATGTCTGCCAATACGGGTTTCTATGTGAGTGGCCGTTCTTCAATTGAGGTCAATATTTATTCCCTGTTAGCATGTGTGTGTGTGTTAATAGCAAGGATTAACGCTCATAAACTTAGAATCTGCAGTGTTTTGCCGTCTTCAGTCTCACACCGGATTGGAGAGCTCGTACCTCCTGTCACCTTCCTGGTTTGTCTTGAAGTGCGGAGTCTCTGCACACAGCTTTTAAAGTAAGCCGAGCTTCTGGTCCAGCAGCGAACGTCTCATGGGGGTGTCTTGCTCTTTCTAGTAGAAAGTCTCTGCAGGCCACCTCTCGTTTTGAAATTCTGCTGAAGTTTGAAACGCCATCCTCTGTTATTTAGAGCACTGGACAGTACCCTGTGTGCTCACTTGCCTTTGCTGTTGCCCGACCCTTCCCCAAGCCCACTTTATCTTTTGGGTATTTATTTACTTACATTTGCTTTTTAAAAGATCTCTAAACTTGAGCCTAGAGTAGATCCTCATCATCTCTAACCTTTTAGGCGGTTAAAGGGGACTTTTCAGAAAATAATTTATTTTTATGTATCATGAGCAATTAATAGATACACAGTCCTTCCAAACCAGTTCATTAATAGGGAAATGAATATAATTCTAACAAGACAGGCAAGATTTTAACCACTGAGGTCTAGCTAGGATAACCCAGTTCTCGCATTGCTAGTGCATTCAGCAGATTTCTTAATTGAAGGACAGAAAATGCACACGTACTCCCAGCTTCTACCCAGAGCCTAAGGGGGAACAGAGTGGCCTGCCAGCGGAAAGGTTGAGAATTGGAGTGATGGGGGAAGGAGTCAAGCAGAAATGCCAGAGAGAACCAGGCAAAGGCACTTGGTGCCAGGAGCGTCCACTGGTTCCTCACAGTGCCCCCGGTGCTTCGTCCTGACCCATTATGATGAGAATCTTATCTTTTCTGTCCAGCTAATTCTTCAGCTTCTCAGAGTCTACGGGAAGTTACTCTGGGTCACCTCCTTGTGCATACACTGTAAAGTTTATTTTTAACCTCTTGCTAAAGTTTTAATCATGACAAGGATTTCCCAGCTCCTGTTGCCTTCTTAGCATATTTCTTCCAGCTTTTGAGCATAGACTTTTCCAAAATACAACATTTTCCCCTCATGATATTTTATGGACCTACATTAAGAAAAATCCTGGGGCTGCAGAGATGGGTCAGCAGTTAGGTGCACTGACTGCTCTTCCAGAGGATGGGTTCAAAGCCCAGTATCCACATGGTGGCTAACAACTCATTGTAACTTCAGTTCCAGGGGATCCAGTGCCGCCTTTTCGGCTCTGCAGACACTGCATGGGTGTGGTGCACAGGCATGCATGTAGGCAAAATACTCATAACATAAAATAATAATGAATATACCTTTAAAAATAAATGATTTTAAAAAGAAGTTATGCTTTTAAAAAAGGAAGAATGAAATGATCTGCTTAGCCTGTTGAAATCTGTAAAACGTGTTTTTATCAAAAGGCAGTTGAAAACTCAGTCCTTCATGCACCAGCATCAGGGTGGGAGTCTTGATGAGCTTGTTTCCACACACTTGCTTCTGCTAAAAGCTTGTAGTCAGAAGGGATGTATAGAAGAGCAGGCTATGCCAGGCAGTGGTGGCGCACACCTTTAATCCAGCACTCAGGAGCAAGAGCCAGGTGGATCTCTGAGTTTGAGGCCAGCCTGGGCTACAGAGCGAGATCCAGGACAGCCAGGGCCACACAGAGAAAACCCTCTTTTGTTTTTTGTTTTTCCGAGATAGGGTTTCTCTGTGTAACAACCCTGGCTGTCCAGGAACTCACTCTGTAGACCAGGCTGGCCTTGAACTCACAGAGACCCTCCTGCCTCTGCCTTCTGAGTGCTGGGATTAAAGGCACATGCCGCCACGGCCCTCTTTTGAAAAACAAACAACAACCAAAAGCAGGCTGGCTTTTCCCAGTACAGGTAGGAGGGTGGGTAAGTTCCCATCTGCCCTAAAGTGACGTTCCTGTCCCTTTGCCCACTTCGTCTTTGCTTATGATTTGCTTTGCCTATTTTCTTTCCTTCTCTCATTCCCTTTCTGTCCCCCCACCCCCACCCCACCCCCACACACACTCCCAGTTTTGATTTTTGAGACAGGGTCTTGCTATTGTAGCCCTGGCTGGCCTCAAATGCAGCAGCAGTTGTCATGCCTCAGCCTCTCCAGTGCTTGGATACAGGCATACACCGTCAAGACTGCTGTACTTGTTAATTTAAAACCACAAGTATTTATTTCAGCTGAAACCTTTTTTAAAAAATGGTTCTGTTTTTCTTACCTATAAAATGTTTTACTCTTGGGGTTGGGCATTTAGCTCAGTGGTAGAGTGCTTGCTAGAGCGCAAGACCCTGGGTTCGGTCCTCAGCTCCGGAAGAAAAAAAAAGTTTTACTCTTGATGAACATGAGCTTTGGAACTTGAGGGTGTGTTAAGGTCAGTGACAGCACCTGTTTAGTATGCCTAGGTTTGAGCCCAGTGCCAAAATCTGATCTTGGACCTTCAGCACCATGGTTAAACTACGTGATGTTGAGGCGCTTTGGTGCTCATCATGTCTCGGTGTGTACGAGGGTTTGGAAGACTGTCATTTAAACCAAGAATGGTTTACTCCTGTTAGACCTCTGATTCACATGTCCGATTTCTGTGTGTGCGTGTTTTATGCTTCTGTCTTTTGAGGAGTGGTAGTCTACTTCTAAAAATTACATGTATGGGTGCTGATATATATTTTGGGCCAGCCAGCTTTCAGTAAAAGACAAATATGTTACATCCTTTAATGCCCTTTTATAAATCAAAAGTCTTTTCCAGTTAGGAAGAAAAAAACTTTTTAAGATTTATTTTATGTATGCAGTGCTCTATCTGCATGTACTTGTGCACACCAAAAGAGGGCATCCATCTTACTACAGGTGGTTGTGAGCCACCATGTGGGTGCTGGGAATTGAACTCAGGACCTCTGGAAGTGCAGCCAGTGCTTTTAACCTCTGAGCCGTCTCTCCAGCCCCCAAGGACTTTGTGTTTTTAAGATCACTTAAGTGTAGAGTCAGCTGTTAGCATCTCATGTCCTGTGGGGTGAAGCTTGGATGTTGCATGAACAGCTAAGGAGGAGCCTGTGTTAGTGCCAAGGATCACCCATTGATTTGTTCTGGAGAGTCCGTCCGTGTCAGAGACAAGTGCTGTGCCTGCAGGTCTCAGTCTCAGTTCCAAATACACCATGGAAGATTCCTCTGTGACCTGCTCATCCTTGGAAAGCAAATCTACTGACAACCGGGGTGTCAGGAGATGCCACTCAATTGTTTTCCCCCATGTTTTGTAGAAAATTGTACCCAGAGAGCTTAATGGCTAAAACTTGATGTGAGAAAAGAATCTCGGCCGGGCGGTGGTGTCGCACGCCTTTAATCCCAGCACTCGGGAGGCAGAGCCAGGTGGATCTCTGTGAGTTCGAGGCCAGCCTGGACTACAGAGTGAGTTCCAGGAAAGGCACAAAGCTACACAGAGAAACCCTGTCTCGGAAAACCAAAAAAAAAAAAAAAAAAAAAAAAAAAGAAAAGAATCTCTTTCTCCAATCTCCAAGTGTAGGAATAGATGAGTGGAGAGATTTCTTATTACACAGTTGGACTCCAAGGAGGCCCTTTTTCATGGCAGGGCCAGAGCTCCTCTGGGACTCTTAAGTGAATCGGTATATTTGTATCACAAACTGGGAGGAATAGATCACCTTGTGTGAAATAGGGTGAGGCTGTGCTCTAAGCTCAGGAGCTGTGGACAGACTCCATCTTTGGATCCCTTTGATTCACGGACATCTTTGTAAGAGGAGGAGGCAGAGCGCTAATCTTCCTGTGGAGGGGAGGGTGAGAGGGGAGCATCAATCTCCAACAATACTCTTGGTTTCCTGAAAGCGGACACAGGAGAGTTGACTGGTACAGGGCCCCGACCTCAGCAGCACAGACTGTAAACTAGTCAGCCAACCATATATGGTAGTAAACTTGTGAGCCATTTAAAGCTGTTGGAGCGGTTAAGTCATTGACTCCTTTGAAAGTGGATCTTGGGTAGATTTGCTGTCAGATGAGAGATGGACACCTAGAGAAGGTAGTGGTGTCACAGAGAGCCTGAGTTTAAAACCATTTTTAAGATTTAAAAGGTTTACATATGATAATGCACTTTGTGTATGAGCATGCTGTGTTCATATGCATGTGTGTGACCCTACATGTAGAGGTTATTGGTCAATGTCAGATGTCTTTCTCAATTGCTTCTCTGTTATTTTTTGTGACGGGGTCTCTTACTGATCCTGGAGTTTGAGGGTTTTTTTTGTTTTGTTTTGTTTTGTTTTTTTCGAGACAGGGTTTCTCTGTGTAGCTTTGCGCCTTTCCTGGAACTCGCTTTGTAG